GAGGTAGTTGTCATCTAGGAGGCTTACTGCTGAATAAGCTCACCCTTTCTAGTTCTTTCTGAACTCTGGCTGGCTAGTTCAACTTAGCTGTTCTGGCTCAAACTCCTCCCCAAACTGACTGATTCAGTTAGGCTTCTCTTGGTTTCTGCCTGAATTGCTCTGTGTGGCCTCATACTAACTTGGACAATATATTCTAATCTTCTGGCTCCTTATTCTCTGGCTTCAACCGCCTTTGCTGCCCTGCACTGAACTTCTTGAGCTCACGAAGGAATTCAACTCCACTGCACTCATTCACTCACTCACTCACTCACTCACTCAGCTGAAAAATACGCATGATTCTGTCTTCTGAGTGCTGAGATTAAGGGCGTGTACCACCATGTCTGGGCCTAATTTTTTCTTTTTTTTTTGGTTTTTCGAGACAGGGTTTCTCTGTATAGCCCGGGCTGTCCTGGAACTCACTCTGTAGACCAGGCTGGCCTCGAACTCAGAAATCCGCCTGCCTCTGCCTCCCGAGTGCTGGGATTAAAGGCGTGCGCCACCACCGCCCGGCTCTAATTTTTTCTTTAATTGAAATTTTCTCTATACAGGCTGGCCTTGAACTCCAGCTGTTTGCCTCTGGCTCCTGGGATTAAAGTTGTGTCTTCCCAGATAGATCACTCAGACATACAGTGGCTCTGGATGCAATCCCTTGCCAGTGCAGCCATGTTGCTGGATTATAATTCCTCTACACTTAGTGCTCTTCTTACAACATAGCAGTCGGTTTTTATTGGAGTTTGGATACAATGAGGCTGTTTCATGTTCACCCCAAGCCTTTAAAAATGGGGTTCTGCCTGAGTTTCAAGCTGTATGTCTCATCTGAAAGCCACCCAGTGCCCTGATCTACTTACTGCTGCTGGCGTGTCTGCTCCATCAATGTATTTACATTGCCTTTGTGATAGAGCACCATAAAAAGTGACACTTTTCATGGTTCAGAAATGTCCTTTTGTTGGTCAGGTTTTCTGGTGGCTCCATTACATTGTCTAACTCAGGAATTCCCAGTCAGCTCCAACTGTAACCAAAGTAGAGAGTATGTGAGAGCCCTGAGGACTGTCCACCGCCCTTGTCACCCTGGCTCTCATTTTACAGGTTATCTAAGCTGTCTCTGCAGTGCTTCATTCTTCCCAGTCCAGCACTCAATAGCTCTGATGTGTCACCTGGAGGAAGTTAGCACCTTTGTCAGGCAGCTCAGGAGCTCAGGCATGCATCCATCCTTCTTTGTGTAAGTCCCAAGTGTTATTACTCATACCTGCTTCCACTTCTGTAGAGGAGGGCTGCTGGATTCCACAGCTTAGTTAGCCTTGCCCAGTGAGCATGCAAACAGCAGATTTCCTTGTTAGAAAATAGCAACACAGTGATTCTCCATCCTGTAACCTCCTGATACATGTATGGGATTCTTTGACTTGAGCTCTTGATTACCACAGTGGCAAATGGGCCTCAATTTTTCTTCCTATATTCAATGGGAAAAATATTTTCTTTTATAGAAAAGGTATTCTGTATTGGGGATAGGAAGATGGCTCAGCTGTTAAGAGCACTTGCTGGTCTTCCAGAGGTCTGGGCTTTGGTTCCCGGCACTATATGACAGCTTGCAACCATCTGTAACTTCAGTTCCAGGAAATCCAGTGCTCTTTTCTGGCCTCTTTGAGTATCAGATATTCATGTGGTACATGTACATATATACAGGCAAAACACTTATGTGTATAAAAAAAAGAATTTAAAAATCTAAAAAAAAAAAAAAACAAAAAACCTGTCATTCACTGAATTTGAAAGTCAAATAGTGTTAAGTGGTTGATTTTGATTTCTGACTTGGCCTTTGTTGACCTGGTGAGTCTTTCCAGGGAGAGATTGGGAGCCTGTGGTTGGTGAAGGGGTGAGGTCCAATGGAAGCTTCATGGTGGCTTGTGTTGTTAAAGGCATGCTGGAACAGCTACCTAGTGAATGAGCTACATGCACAGCAATTTGCTATCAGTGACTTTAATGGCTCTAGGTAGCTGAGTAAGGCATCCAGAGTTTAAATGGTTTGCCACAGGCCACCCAGCAAGTGTGTGGTTGAGCCAGATTTAGAACAGTGTCCTCATTATCTCTTGACTTCTAGCTTTGTGCTAAGGCTCATCACGGCTCACCACTCTGCACCCATACACTAGAGTTCACTTGTCAGAGGAAGGAACACTTCAGGTTTGACCTATCTGCATATGTTTAGTTAATTCAAAACCAAATGAGGTAGGAATGATAATGATAATAATAATAATAATAGACTGAAGTCTATTCAAAAAAAGTAGAGTGCAAGGAAAAGACAAATTCAAAAAAAAAAATTCTAGAAACGGGATCCCCTAAAGGTAACAGTGACTTGTATGGGAGGGCAAAGGTACTGTGGCTGGCCATCAAGTTCCTCAGAGCTTACAATGGAATTTAAGAGAATGGTCACTTTAGCACAGTACAGTAAGCAAGGTTGTAGTGAGCCTGTGTAAATGGGGAGGTTCTCTAGCTTAGGCAGACTGAAGTAGAAGGTGGTGGAGTAGGTAATGGAGATAGGCCTTGAAGGGCTACGTGTATTCAACATGTATCTGAGAGTGTGTGTGTGTGTGTGTGTGTGTGTGTGTATGTGACAGAGAGAGAGACAGAGACAGAGAGACAGAGACAGAGACAGACTTATATGCTTGAGCAAAAATGAGCATACATTCCCAGGCTCCTAGAGCTTATTTTGGTGGGGAAAAGAAACACTAGGATTAAATAAGTAAGGAAATTAAATGAAAATATTAAAATACATCAGCTACTTAAGGATAAAGGTGATTAAGGTTTATTCAGACACGCAGGCCTGGTGATGGTACACACTTTTGGCATGACATGATGACAGTGGCACTTCCATTTTGTATTATTCTTTCTCAACACATGTAGCTTCAGTCTAATCATGAAGAAAATAATCAGAACAAACAAACAAACAGCCCACGTAAAGGATGTGGGAGCTGCCTCAGTTGGTGGAGTGCATGCTGTACAAGTGTGAGGGCCTGAGTTTGGATCCCTGGCATCTACTGGCATGATTTTAAGATTGCTTCTTCAGCTTTGTAAAGCTCTGGATTTGATCCTTTGTAAACACACACACACGCACCCCTACCTGCAGAGTTTGAAATGGTAGATAACAGAAGGAATACTGGTAGTCTTAGGAGCTTAATGTAATGTAATTGATATCTCTTCTATACAATGAGAATCTTGTACTTTATGTTCATTTGATTACATTAATTTTTCTTAGTTTCTGGTATACAAGATGAAATTGGAAAAAAATCCCATTTCAAATTTCAGAATTACTAAAACTAGTTACAGAATTCAAGAGACTGAGGCTTGCTTAACTTGAAACTCAGAAAGAATAAACAAACCTAAACCTGTTTGCAGCTAGAAACATTGGAAACATTGTATGAAGTTCTATGCAAAACATATTCTAACACACAGGGGTAGTCAAGTTCATAGTTACCACCTCTTTATAAAAGAAGCTGACCAGTTTTTATGATCTGTATATACCATTGATACAACTAAAGGAAAAATTTTGGCCTGAGGGTACGGCTCAGTTGGTAGCCTGGCATGCTCAAAGCCCTGGGTTTAATCCCCAGCACCACCTAAAATCAAGTGGGGTGGTGGATATCTAAAACCCCAGTGGTTAGGAGGTAGAGGCCGGAGAGTCAACAGTCAGGGTATTTTCAGTTTTATAGTGGGGTTGAGGTCAGCTTGGTAAATAGATAAGTAAAGTTTGTGTATATTAGTTTATTTTCTACATATTAAACAACTTAGTTCAACTTAGTTCTTAGTGCTATTGATTTAAATATATTGGTGTAATGACCTATCAGCTGAAAATTAATTGATTAATCATAAAGTTTTTGAAAAAAAAAAGCATGTTTCTCTGCCTTTTCAGCATGTATAATGGTATTACTAATTGATAGCTTTACCTACTTATAAGCAGTAAAGAGGAAAAAGATGTTGCCTAATTTTATCCCTTCTTTTGTTAAAGACACACAGGTATATGTGACTTCTGAGTGCTTGAAATGCAGCCAGTGTGACTGAATTCAAATAGCCATATATGGTTGCCATTTACTGTATTAGATTATATCATAATTGAGATCTGTTCTAACTATACCCAACCATAGAGGTCTAGCATTTTCCAGAGAGAGTGAGTTAGTGCTCTTGTAGATTTTCTCTGCTCAGGTCCAGCCGTGAAGTTTGGTACCCCAGGTCCACAGAGAAGAAATGATCTCAAACCTACTACTTGGGCCATATTTTGGCCATAGGCTTTTGCCTGGATCCCCACTCAGTCATGTGCTCATAATCCCCTGGCCTTCAATCCTAGGCAGTACAGCCTCCTGTACTCTGAGGCCAACATGGAAGCCGGGGGTTTGGCACTTGAAACCGTTTCCAGAAAAACTGGAGAATTCTGAGGGCAAGACTCCTCTTTAGGCTTTATTTGTTATCACCCACGAAAGCACAAGCAGTGACGTTAACATTCAGTCTCCCTCTCCGCTTCTCCCTACACCTTCACAGCCAGCAGACCGTGAGTGATTGTAAGTGTTTTGAAAGCATTCATGACTTTTAGGCCGATTGCAATATAGGCCCAGGCACAGAATCTATGGTGTTTTTTGCTTACTATTTTAGGTCAGCAGATCAGAGGTTTTTTTTTTTTTTTTTTTAACCAGGGCAGTCTTTTTACAGCTGCTCTCAAAGGCTTCTCTGTGTGAATAAAAGCTGTTGGCCTTATTTCCCATTATCAGGTGCTCCACGCTGCTCTGCTTAAGTTCTCATACAAAATGAAGAGTCATGTGTATTCCTGATACACAATAGGAAGTTTGTATAGGTGTTGTCGTACCCCTGTGTGCATGACTGCCATAGAAGAGGCATAAAAATGGAAACATGGTTGGACAGACTTGTGCACTACAGAACACAGTAAACCATGTGCCAATGTTGTCTTGTTTGTTTTTTCCCAGGAAATTGAGGCTTGGCGATACACTGCTTTGGCAAATACTGCCCTGCTGTCTTCACTAAGATCTCTAAGAACAAGCTCCCCATACTCCTGTGCTTGGCTTTCTCTAGGCAGCCAGATGAAGATTGCTTCCTCTTGTTTCCACAGTTGCATTGCTGAACCACGGCTCTCTGTTGGCTGAATGTTCATGACATCTTTTCCTGAAGCAGTTTAGAATCTTGCACTGTGTGTCATGGAAGCTTTGGAAGTAGATGACATCAGCCCCGCCTTAGAGGTTACTGAGGATTTCTTTAGTACTTTTGACAGTAAGCTGGAAAAGGCTGTGCAACAAGCAGAGGTTTATGGGGTCCAGGAAGTCCCTGAACTGGTGGGGCATGAAGTACTTGGTAACATAACAGACAATGGTGCTTTAAGAAGCGTTGCTTCCCTGGGCAAGGGGACAATGATTTGGGACCACTGTAAGAGCAGGCTATTAGAAACCAAAGCTCAAAATGTCTTCCCTGCCAAAGAACAGCTTATGGTCCAGAGAGGGACAGCCCCAGATAATCTTTCCTGGATGGAACAGAAGGAAGCGTCAACCTTTAACTTTTTCAACATTTGTCAGCGTCGGAGGGACAGACCTCGTTCTGTGAATGACTTATTGGATGAGACCACAACTTTCAAGCCAGGACATGCTCGGTCAAGATCCGATGTTACCCATGTAGACTGGCGGGTAGTCCTTAGCACCATGCCTTTGCAGCAGCAGCAGCAGCAGGAGGTGTCCCTTCAAGGCCCTCACTTTTCCAGGCCATCTTTTCTGTTGTCTTCACCCAATAAGGTTGAAGATGCTCAAGGAAATACAGGTATGTTTTACATCAGACTTCTAATGAACAGCTGTTGATTTCTCCTTTGTCTCTCTTACATCTGCTGATTCTCCAATACTCAACATAATGGCTTTTCTTTCTCCCATACTTTGATATCTTTGTTTCAAATCAGCTCTCTTTTTATCTTCTTTTTTTTTTTTTTAAAGATTTTATTTAAATTATTTATATGAATACACTGCAGCTGTCTTCAGACACACCAGAAGAGGGCATCTGATCCCATTACAGATGGTTGTGAGCCACCATGTGGTTGCTGGGAATTGAACTCAGGACCTCTGGAAGAGCAGTCAGTGCTCTTAACCACTGAGCCATCTCTCCAGCCCCCTCTTTTTATCTTCTGAAGAAGTATTTAGTAAAATTATGACTATGGTTAAGTCTCCCTTTCTAATCTTCTATGTTAGAATATTCTTACACCTAAAATAGTATTTCCCTCTGAACACTTCATGATACTGCTTATTCATATCAGATGCTTATCAAATCACACATTGGACTTTATTAATCTTGCTCTGTGCATGTGTGCATGTGTGCATGTGTGCATGTGTGTAGACACACTGTCCTGCAGAACTTTTCATCCAGCTGAAAGCATCAGGCATCAAAGAAGTTTTGGAAACTTACTCAAAATGAGGGACAGAGAATGTCCAGTGGAAATGTTTCTTACTCCATATACACATGAGTGGCAGTGACACTAAGAGACACAGAGAAGAGAAGGCACTGTGGCCTGGCTGCCTTCAGAAGAAAATCATAGAGGATGATAGTCAAAATCAGTGTGAACAAAGGTGAAATGGGTGGGGTGTACCTCACTTGTAGAACACCTACTTAGCATGAAAGGTTCTAAGTTCAAACCCAGCCTGGGGGAATACTGAAATGAGAATGCAGTGGATAGTGAGTGTGACCCACGACAGGATAGCCTTTGGAATGTAATTATGGCAATAATTATGTAATTATATTTCTGCCCATGACGAGCCACATTTCACATACAACACAGAGTCACCCCTTAAGATACTTCTTCCCTGTCATACCCACAACTTGCCACTTCTCGTCTTTCCTTCTAGACCAGTGGTTCTCAACCTTCCTAATGCTACGACTCTTTCATATAGTTCCTTGTGTTGTGACCCCTAACTATAAAAAATTGTAGTTGCTACTTCATAACTGTAATTTTGCTACTGCTATGAATTGTAATGTAATATCTGATATGCAGGATATCTGATATACAACTCCCAAAGGGGTCTCAGCCCACAGCTTAAGAATTGCTGTTCTAGGGCTGGAGAAATGGCTCAGAGGATAAGAGCACTGACTGCTCTTCCAGAGGTTCCGAGTTCAATTCCCAACGACCACATGGTGGCTCACAACCATCTGTAATGGGATCAGATGCCCTCTTCTGGTGTGTCTGAAGACAGCTACAGTGTACTTATATAAATAAAAAATGAATAAATCTTTTTTAAAAAAAGAATTGCTGTTCTAGATTCTCACAGATCTTCAAGAACAGCTAGCAGGGTTCTAACTATAGAAACAGAAGGAAAGGTGAGTTTCCTTATAAAGCAGGACATGGTGGCTGATCAGATACTAGTGAGACACCACATAGCCTGGAAGAACTGATAGCTGTGTGTTGATCTGCTACATCATGTAGTACTTAAACTCTTTAACTAGCAAATAACCACAATAGATGTCTGCTAGAATTTACATGGAATTTTGTCAGTAAGTCACTGTAACCATTTGTAGATCTTGGCAGGACCCAGATGAAGAAGTTATCATATTTCTAACTCTATTTTTCCAGTGTGTTCTGATTATAAATCCAGGAGTTGGGCATCCTTGAGTTCTCTAATGCACTGGTCTTTCCCTCTGAGTACCTGACAAACAATGGTTGTTACTCTTTTTTTATTTTACTTATTTTTTTCCAAGATAGGGTTTCTTTGTGTACCACTGGCTGTCCTTGAACTCTCTATATATACCAGGGTAGCCTTGAACTCAGAGAGATCTGCCTGAATTCTGGGTTTAAAGGCATGTACCACCACTTCTGGCTTGTGATTTAAAATTCTGAATGCTAATTTATAGTGAAATATAAGATTTTACAAAGGATATTATAACACATGAGCTTTGCGGGATTAGAATAACACATCTTAGCCACTGCTTGGTCATTGCAACAGGAGTAGGCAAACTTGGGCAAACATGGCTGTCATCTCACACCTTCTCTTTCTGACAAGCTTTGGGGAGCAGGCAAGATGTGTCATGATTTTATGGCTTACCAGGTGAAGAGCAGGGCCCAGCAAGGGCCCGGTGCTGAGTCTGGGAGTAGAAATGCATTCTAGATTTGTGATTGATTACCCATCCTGAGCAGTGTACAGTTCTCATCTAGATACATACAGAGAGCTGATGGGAATTGACCTATGGATTTGTAGGCACAGAAGTCAGCCAGTCTGCTCCTGAAGTCAGGGCTATCCCTCAGGGTGAGTTCCTAGTGGCAGAGCCACCCTCAGTACAACAGATACTGGGAAGGCAGTGAGGTATAAGCTGACTTTTGGGGCCTTGACACAGATTTTCACTGTCTTATTTTAGAAGCTCATGAATGTGTTTTGAGACTACATTGCCTCAGACATAGGCAGTCCAGAGCTGACTTTCAAAAGGAATGTTGGCTGATCTAGTGAAGAAAGGGTGCTTCAGGGGTCCACCCATAGGATGTAGCTTGAATTCAATACAGTGTGCATTGTCTGAAAATGATTGGTTAATAGTGTCGGGGGTGGGAGTTAGGTCATAAAATGATAAATAGGTACAGACGTGAGGCACAATGGCGACAGTTATTCTAAAGAATTTCAGAATATGTGGTAGAGTCCAAAGCTTCGTTAGGAACAGCATTTTACTAACATCCCACTGTCCACTGTCCCTGGGCAGCAGGAGCACTCTGAGGGCTTTGACTCCACTGTGAGAATGTCTGACTTCCAGCCCTAGCACTGATGTTAGTTGCATAAAGACATGCTCTTCATGAACGTAGATGAGTGTCTGTACTTAATGTTTGTTCCTTCTGCATCACTGTCACACTACTCCCTGAGGAACAGGACACTCATAGGCATGAAGGAATTCCCCAGAGGATAAAGGAGATAGAGCCCTGCCATCACAGAATGAAGTCCAGACATACACATCTTTTTTTTTTCTTTTTTTTTTTTTTGGTTTTTCTTTTTTGGGTTTTTCGAGATAGGGTTTCTCTGTGTAGCCCTGGCTGTCCTGGATCTCACTCTGTAGACCAGGCTGGCCTTGAACTCAGAAATCCACCTGTCTCTGACTCCCAAGTGCTGGGATTAAAGGCGTGCACCACCACTGCTCGGCCCAGACATACACATCTTAAGGTAAAACATCTGATGACCATGTGGGTGTCAGATATGTTTTTAGATACAAGTAATAGATTGTATACACGCACACACTTGCACCTTTATCTGTTTTATCTCTTTTATGTTTGTTTAATAGACTGTGTGCACACACACTTGGACCTGTATCTGTTTATGGGTTTTATGTGTGTGTAATAGATTGTATCAGCGTTGCACGTGGTAGGTGAAGATGCAACTGTCTAGAAAGAATATTCACGTGAGACTCAGAGTCTTTTCCAAGCTCTACTCCTGACTCACCGTATCGATTTGGAAAACCTTGTATTGTCTCTTTATAAACTTACCAAGACAGATTAAATTATCTCGCAGTCCTTCCCAGCCCTAAAACTGTATCGTTCTAGGATGAGCTTGAGTGGATTCTGACTCATGGTGATGTGGGAACTAATTGCTATATTCAGATCAATAATTCAAGATCATAACTGAAACAAAAGTATGGTTAGAATGTTTTCACAAGTGAGAGATTTCTGTATAACTTGTAAGTCTACTGCTGCCATGAACTGCAGTGGTAACTTTTTAAATGAAAAAAAAAAAATTAAAGGAATCTTTTATATTCACTGTAGAGCCCTGAGACTCAACCAACTACCAGAATGGAGCTCGCTCTCCACCCTGACTGTGTCACATTTTCATCTGCTGGGCAAGGGCAGTGGTCAGCTGGGCTTTTGTTTCTGTAGGTGCCGCTCTGGTGACCCGGCATGCTCCTGGGCCTACGGTTTCTTGTTCTGAGTACTTTAGGAGAAGGCATCAAGCAGAGATTGTCTTTGCGGCTAGACAAGCCACTGCAGGCTACTCCTTTATCTAGAGCTCTGCTACGGCTTCAGTTCCCTTTCCCCATCTCTCACTTAAAAAAAAAAGACAAATTTGGGACTTGTACTAAAATGACTGCCTTTTCAATTATGCTGTTTCTCAAAAGCCCTGGAGCCAGGAGAGATGGAAATATTCATGTGGGTTTAGAATAAGTGAGGTCACCAGGACACAGTGTCTTGTGAATTTGTGATTCACCCTCTCACAGATTAGTCAGTACAGAGAAGTTGCTAAAATAGGTCACAGGAAGTTGATTGTGTATGGTCACAATTTCCGCTGGGTAATGATCCCATTTTGGCCCTAACAGCCCGTATTCCAATTCCTAACACTGCTGTAAGAGAGCCCAGGAAAATGGAGCGTTTGAGGGTCTTTGTGGGTGTTCTCTTAGTGCATTTTATTCTCTTTGACTTGAAAAACTGTGGTTATTAATTTTTCAAACTGCTAGAGTTATCTTTCTAAAGCACAGGTCTTTTGTGCTACTGTGTTTATAGAAATGAACTGTATGGGGCTGGAGAGATGGCTCAGAGGTTAAGAGTACTGGCTGCTCTTACAGAGGACCTAGGCTCGATTCCCAGCACCCATACTGTGATTTACAGCTACCTGTAACTCCTGTTCCAGAAGATCTGATGCCCTCTCTGACTTCTACAGGGGCCACACTCACACAGTAAACAGGCATACATGTAGGCAAGGATTCATATAATAAAAATAAAAGTATAAAATTGAAACAAACAAGACATGGCTCACCATCACTTGTGAAGCTGCATGAACTTTATGAAGCATTCGGAATCTTTTCAGCCTTATCGCCTG